GTGAAGGATTCTTCAGTACAGGATGCTTGAACTTGATTTGTTACTCTCATCAAGGAGGGCATAAAGGTAGGTAAAACCTGAACATGCCTTGAGGCCCAGGCAGATGAAGTTTTACCACAAGCTCTGTCTTATGGTGGGGATAAGGGGGCAGGAGTGAGAAAGAAAAGGCTACTAAAACTTACAAAATATAATTATAGACTAATTTCTTCATCAGCGAGACCTGTAAGAAATCAGTACTGTTTCTCCTGAGAGATCAGTGGTGTCATCTCAAGTGTCCTCAGAGTGCCAAATGGTATAAAACACTTGCTTTGAAAGTACCACACCATGATAAGCTTCAACTCCCAGGGGATGCATTGTGTGTGCATTTTGTTATATGTAATGACACACCGAAAGGGCAGTGAAGCTGTTAAGGGAATGCTGCATAGCTAAAAAGAAGTTATTTTTCTTTCAACCAATAAAAGAAAGAAAGAGTCTTTCAGAAGAGCATTAAAATAATATCATTTAAGTGAAACAACTGATAAAATAACAGCCAGAATTCATCTGTCAAGTTAAGAAATCTAAAACATTAAATCTGTGTAGCATATGTATTTCAAATTGGACTGTTTTCCTGGTAAAGAAATAGACGACCTCTTCAAAAAGCTTTTAAAACAGTTGATATATGTACAAAATGTTGAGGCTGACACAACCAGTGTAATGGCAACAATTATTCAAAACAGTAGATTTGAAAAATAAAGCATAAAATGTAGTCATTTCATGTAGTTGTTCTAGACAACATATGAGAAGCTGTGAGAATCAGCAAGACCAGAGTTGGTTGTGAGACTCTGGCAGTTTTTTGGGGAAAGTGATTTTGTAGTAAAACAGTCTAGTGCATACAGAAAAATACCCCTAGAGATGTCTACAATGCTAACAACAATATTTTGAAATTAAGCTAAAGACTCATGTTCCCTTCAGAAAAATTCCACCTGGGCATATTCAAAAATTCTGTATGGCCTCAGTCTGCTAGGGCCATTTTCTAGTAGAAATATTTTTTTAGCTACAAAACATATAGAAACGTATGTGAATGTTTTCTTCTATTTCTAATGCAAAAGTAGTTGTCTTCTTTAAACTTGACAGAGAATGAAATTTGAGGATATGAAATCCCAGACAGCAAGGTAACAATTGGGAAAATGTGTTCTTGAAGAACTTTAAAGGCAAAATTCAAATTGCAGAAATAATTCATTTGACACTAAATAAACAAGGACTCAAATAAAGAAAAGTGAATTGTTCAGAATGGTGCTGTTGTATCTTCTAAGTACTGGCCATCAATCACTGTCAGTTAATTATCATTAAGATTGCATTAAAAAAGCCCCCTGTGGGAGCTGGATAGTCTGTGAGCTTTGTTCTGTCCTTAAAATGAACATAAACTGTAAGTTCTCTTGTTGGTTTTGTTAGGGTTTTTTGTTTGTTTTTATTTGGGTCCTTTTGTATACAAGCAAGTTGTGTGAAAAGATGAATCTGGAAATGCGTAATTGTAGTGAGAGTTACCATATGTATCACAGAGAGAGGGCAATAGAACAAGGACTTAAAAATTAAAGTTGTTATTTCTCAGGAAGAGTTTAAAGGGTTTTTTTTCCTTCCCCCCCAAAAAAAACCACAAAAACAACAACAACAAAAAAAAACAGTAGGACGTAGGACTGCCAATGGCAGGGGGGTTGGAACTGAACGATCTTAAGGTCCTTTCCAACCCTAACTGTTCTGACTCTGTGATTCTATGATTGACGTTTCTAAGGTGCAAAACTGATGGGATTTATAAAAGAAATGCTTGCTTCTTAGTTAACTGTGCTGTTTTCAAGCCTCAAGGGTTTATATTTTTCTGTGCAGCATTCAGTTTTGGAAACTTTCATTTAAAAAAAAAAAAAGAATACAGGGTAAAGTCACGTGGCTCCAAAAGGTGATTCTCCGACAGAACATGAGCCAGCATGAAATTCAGTAGGACTTGTGAATACAAAAATTTTCAGAGCTTATGAGCTGATCTGAGGCCTCTTGAGCACTTAGCTAATGACAGAAGCAGGAATGCAACAGCTATTTTTATTTCCAGGGTGCTTCCCTGCACTGCTTAGTAGCAGTTCCCACTCTTAAAAATACTGAGGTTTATTGGTAGCTCTCATCAGCATCACAAACAGGAGCTGGTACCTGAGCTCTCTGCAATTTATGCCTTTGATATAAAATTGGTTCTGAGTCAGCTGGTGCTTGTTCATCCTGAGGATCACAAGAGTCTCCTGGCAGAGCTCTCTCTCTGCAGTATGTGGCTGCGGAGATTAGAGTAAACCCTTATGAATTTTTCACATCTCTAAATACTTATTTATTGTGGGAATATGTATGTGTTACAGACAGATTTTGTTTGTTTGTTGGGATTTGGGTTTGTTTCTTAAAATGAGGCTTCCTTGTTAACCTTTTCTGCCCTGAAATGACTTAAGTGAGAGTGCCTTATGAACAAGACCAGTTTAAAGGCTGAAGCTTTCAAGACCAAAGGCCTCTCTGTTCAGCAAATTAACAGTAATACTAATTAAAAAAAAAACTTACATTTTAATTAACCATGTTTTGGCCAATTGCTCAAATAAACCTCAGAGCTGGAATCATGTAAATGCAAGTGCTCCTACTGAGATGTCAAAGAATCATAGAATAGTTAGGGTTGGAAAGGACCTTAAGATCAGCTAATTCCAACCCCCCCGCCATGAGCAGGGACAACTCACACTAAACCATGTTGCCCAAGGCACTGTCCAACCTGGCCTTGAGCACTGCCAGGGATGGAGCCTTTACCACTTCCTTGGGCAACCTGTTCAGTGCCTCACCACCCTCACAGTAAAGAACTTCTTCCTTATATCCAATCTAAACTTCCCCTGTTTAAGTTTTAACCCGTTACCCCTTGTCCTATCACTACAGTCCCTAATGAAGAGTCCCTCCCCAGCATCCCTATAGGCCCCCTTCAGATACTGGAAGGCTGCTATGAGGTCTCCATGCAGCCTTCTCTTCTCCAGGCTGAACAGCCCCAACTTCCTCAGCCTGTCTTCATATGGGAGGTGCTCCAGTCCCCTGTTCATCCTCGTGGCCCTTCTCTGGACTTGTTCCAACAGTTCTGTGTCATTTTTATGTTGAGGACACCAGAACTGCACACAATACTCCAGGTGAGGTCTCACAAGAGCAGAGTAGAGGGGCAGGATCACCTCCTTCGACCTGCTGGTCACGCTCCTTTTGATGCAGCCCAGGATACAGTTGGCTTTCTGGACTGTGAGCGCACACTGCCGGCTCATGTTCATTTTCTCATCAACCAACACCCCCAAGTCCTTCTCCACAGGGCTGCTCTGAATCTCTTCTCTGCCCAACCTGTAGCTGTGCCTTGGATTGCTCCGACCCAGGTGTAGGACCTTGCACTTGTCATGATTAAACTTAATGAGGTTGGCATCAGCCCACCTCACAAGCATGTCAAGGTCCCTCTGGATGGCATTCCTTCCCTCCAGGGTATCAACCGAATCACACAGCTTGGTGTCATCGGCAAACTTGCTGAGGATGTTTTCGTGTGCTCCTTGTCAACCTCCTCCTCCTGTGAAAGCCTCTTTGCCTGCACATGTCTAGACTGCAGGCAGCACTTACTGTGTGATGGGCAGCCAGGTGGTCATAAGGTAGAGAGACCTGTATTCAGGTCAGGTAACTCACACTGTCAGGGCATACTGTTTTTCTTTTTTGGGTATCTTCTGATGTGTCAGGAAAGATTACATCTCTTTTCTACTCTCATATCTTTTCTCCCTCTGCCGTATGTTGAGTTTCTTCATTCTTACTTAGCTATTGGAGAAGGAAAATCCCCCAGTCCTGATTTTATTTTACAATGTTGGGCCAATTTTAGCAGGTCTGTAAACCAGTAGAAGGAGGAATTAGGCCACAGCAGAAAGGGACAGTGCATGTTGAAAGAAAACTAAGAGGGAAACCCTAACCTCTTCTAATTTACATATGGTGACATTTTGCAGAAATATTGTAACATTAGCAGTGGCATAATGAAATTCTGCCTATCAGCAGTGGAAGGAATAATGTTACTGTAAAGGTAACCTGTCCACAGTTTGTTATCAAGAAAATATTCATGGCAAGAAACATACATTTACCAATGAGTGTTAAGAACAGTATTTTTTCCTTATATTTTTTTCCTCATATGCTATCCATCTTCCCCTCCAGATTTACTGCATGATCACTCCCTTTACATGCTAATTATGTGCAGCTTTGGTGAATTTGTTAGTAGTGACACTTCGGGCACCCAGTGGGACTGCAACTCATTATGTGGCAATGTCCAGATATATCAGATATTATTAGCTGTCATTAATCTGCTGAGGAAACATTGAGTGCACAGCCAGGAGAGAGACCAGGAAATAGAGTAAAAATGAAGTCTGCAGCCACCCTGGCCCCGAGAAGGTCAGAGGGCAGATCAGCAGGGGAGAAGAATACACCTTAAAATGGCCAGTGCTTAGCAGCAGATTTTTAACCCATTGTAACCCAACATTGTTAAGAAGAAGAAAGACAAAAAGAAATGATATTGTTTGTAATGTCTGTACATCTACGCTTTGCTGGAGGAAACAGGGGTACAGACTGTCAAACTACTGCTTTCTAAAGCTATTTTGTAGAACTGCTTCTCAGTGATTAAAATGTGAAGAAATTGAGTGAGCAATATTCAGTATCTGTCCCAATGTGGATAGTGCCCAAGCATAAAGCTTTGAAATTAGGCACATGTAACTCAGAATAGGATTACTGCCCCTACCTTCCACTTGAAGGTCATATTTCATAGAACCAGACCTGGTAGTAGAAGACACTCTGAAGGAGTGAAGAGCTTGCTCTCATTGTTCATCCAGACCTGTAATTCCTTTATAAACACAGGAATTCGCCTCTAGATTGCAGATACAGTGCTGACCAGCCTCTGCTGTGCAGCTTAAAAACACAAATCACAATAGGTTGCATTTTCTTCTCAAAATAGGCACTTGTAAGAGTTATGCATATCTGTGCTTGTGCAGTATTAATTACACGGCTTGGACTGCAGAAATAAAAACAAAATAACATTCTTCCCAGAAAGCTCCAAGGTCTTTCCTGTCTCCAAGATGACTTGCAGAGTACTGCTCAGGACTGTAGGGAGTTGCATCTTCTTTCTTTATATCAGCTAATCGTATGGAAGAAACCAAGCAGGTTTTCAAGCAAAGAGGGTCTTCTCTGTTCTGAAATAGAAACAGAAAACACTGAAACAGAGGCTAGGAATCTCTGAGTTTAGTGGTGATATGTTAACTAGACAATTTTCATAGCAGGGGAAAAGTAATAGGTTGGTTAGTCTGCCTGTGTTGGTTATTTGTGTGTGACTTTTGCTGCTGTTAAGGGGCAACCTGAAAATTCAGGGACCTTAAAATTAATGTAAATAATGAGATAAGAGACAAGAAAAACTAGATTTGATCAAAGGAAGTAAGAATAATCTTTTGTTTCCAAGTTTTCAAGGACCTATGCTCCTTTATCTAGAAATTGCATTGCTCTAATATAGGAGGTATATGCAAAAACTTAAAAGGAAGAAAATCACTCTAAAATTCTTCAACAGATGCAGCTTATACTTGTTAGGGGAAGCTGAGATTAAGTTCTTCAGCCAGTTGTTTGGAGATTTCCAAGTGAGACACTCATCTGAGTTTCCTGAAGGAATCTGTGAAGAATTGATTTTATTCCCACTAAAGGGATCTAATCAAATGCTTTACAATTTTTCGCATATTATGACAAAAAAAAAAACCAAAACAGAAGGCCTGAAGTTTTATTTATAGACCTATCTTCAATTAGTCAAACTGCGATAAACCCATGCAAAACACCAACTGTGAGCTCAGTTTTAGGTTGTTTAAATTCTTCACAATGCCGTAAAAGAGAAAACAATGTTAGTATTTGGTGAAATGACCCCCATTAATACTTCCTAAACTAACCACTACTCATGAACTCAGGTTCTAAGAGAAGATTTAGAAGTCATTTTGGTGGCATTGTGGGATTTGCAGAAATACCCAGAAGTGTTACAGAGTACAGTGTTAGCCATGGGGCAGGTGGCAAGTACCCAGGGAAATAAAGAAGCAGCAGTTTTATCATTGGTCTTGGACCTTTGTAATTTTGGTGTTACAAGAGGGTTTGTTTATTTTTATATGAGAGCAATGCAATATCAAAGAAGAGTTACAGTCTAATGGCATTAATGTTGACAAAAAAGTCAAGAAAGCCATTCTGAGTGCCGTATGAATACATTCAATAGGTCAGTTGTAGATTCTTTTATAGTCTTCTTTTAGTGTATGTGAAATTTTACAAATATGGCACACCTTGCCCTTTTTCCAGGGGAGAGGAATAAAAATTCATTCTAGTTTCTTTTTGCTTTGAGTGCTTCGAAGAACTGAATATGAGATGAATACTGTTTAAGTGAGTGGTACATAAATAAGTTATAGGTTAGGCTTATAGTGCAAAAATTGCAGTCAGCCTCCATGATGCTGTGTTTGCCAAATTTGCACTGATGAAGCTATTATGGCAGGGTTACTTTTTTTTTTTCCTTCATGGAGGAACATGTTTGTTAGTTGCCCATCAAGATTATGCTGTCTTTTCAGTGCCTGTGTTGCTCATTACGATCCTGCAGGCACTTATTTTCACATTTAACGTGATACGCATGAGTAACCCTCTCTTAACTGGTGCAACTATTCAGGTGCAAAATTCTGATGTATGTACTCTGTAATCCTAGGGCCTGAGTAAACTCCACAGAACTCAAAAGTGTTACAGTTTACAGAAGTCTGCATCATTTCTTATTCCATTGTTCATAGCAAGTTGAATAGGTAGGTTTTATCCAGATAAACCTGTATCAGCAATGCTATCAAGGATATCTGCACAGCTGCCTTTGATCTTAATGTACTGAAAATGGTGTGTTGAATATTAACTTCAGTCTTTTAAAAGGTGGCTCTTCAATATATATGCTTGGAATTGTTTTCAAAGTAAATTCCTAGGGATAGGCTTAAAATGACTGTAAGTTGTAACAGAATGCGGCAGGAGAGGTCATCACCTTGAATTTGGAGTGTGGAGAGAACCAATAAACAGAAAGTGCTGGATTGCTCTTTTCCTTGTGACTCAGAAAATTAAGAAGTATAGGGTAAAATCCCTAATAGTAATTTTTACCTTACTGAACAAGCATGAATACCTTTAGGAATATCCTAATACATTTGCTCTTTATTTTGTCATCTGCTTTGTAAAAGCTAATCATAGTTACAAATTTATAAAATGTGCAGTTAGTTGTAATTAAGGCTATATTGAGCATTCTGAAAGTTAAGAAGCAACATCAGCTCTGAACTGATGTGTTTACGCAGGAGTTGCTTTGGTGTGTGAGCCATTAATTGCAATATTCTCAGAGGCTGTGGGAGGGCCTTGCCTACCAAACTTTTGGGTCATAACATAAGGGTTTGATTCTGCAGTTCCTCTGTAAAAGGTAAGTGGCAGAGCTCTATCACAGCTCTGCTCTTCTTCATACAGTACTTTCTATCATACGACATTGCCAGCAGAGAAAGTGGTGCCATAGATCACCCTATCTGATGTAAAGGGTAATCAATATTTACTGTGATTCACTGTTTTTGTGATGTTTACTGGGAAAAAAAATACAAGGACAGAGAAGTTTTAAATTCATCACAGCTTTCCTGATGTTTTCTGTCATTTATTCATTATCATCACTCAATTAGGTGACTTATGCTCTTGCAGAATGAGATACTAGTTAGCATGAGTGAAGGGTTGTCAAGCACTGGAACAGGCTGCCCAAGAACCTGGTTGAGCCACCATCCCTGGAGGTGTTTTAAAGTCATATAAATGTGCTACTTAGGGACACAGTGGGGTGGTAGACATGGCAGCTAGGTTAACGGTTGGACTCAAGGATCTTAAGGGTCTTTTACAACTTAAATGATTCTATGATTCTAAGCAGGAAAAATCCAACCAGAAATTTCCAAGCTGTGAGTTGTCATTAAACGTTTTATTTAAAAGGATTCTGGTGCAGCTGAGACAGGAACAAGAAAATGCAACCAGAACAATAACACCACCAAAACTCAGGGCAGTGTTTCAAGACCATTTCTTGAAATATCTGAAGATTTTTACTGTCTTTTCCAAAGTTACAGATGTTGGTTTTTTTTTATAATTACTAGTATTTTTATTTCATTAACACTAAAAAATGGAAATTAGAACCCTTTTGCTGCTCTAGCTAGAAAAAAGGTAGGAGTTTTCTGAACTCCAGAAAACATATCATCTAAATGGATAAAATAGCTTAAAGAAGGGCTGTTTAAAGGGCTTGGAATGATGAACATTAAATAATTCATGTTTTACTTCAAAAAACAGTTGCAGAAATTGGCTTGTACATACCTATCCATGTGTCTCTGTGTTTGTATGGGCTGAAACTGCACATTGTTGTATCAGGGGTAACAATTCCACAAGTCTCCAATAGATAGTCCTAACTGCTCATTTCAGATGCAAATTATTTCACAACAAAATACAGATAAAGAAACCTTAAATTCACTTGAGTTTCTTTAATGAGAAATTACATTATGGAGTACCAAAACATGGTTTCCTAGATATCTGTTTCTAAACATATCATATGTTTACTGGGGTTTTGTTTCCTTAAAAGCATTGTGGCTATGCATTCAACTTTTGAACCTCATTCTGCAGTGTTGTAGAGCTAACTAACTCTGGAAAAAACAAACCTCCCCAGCCCCCTTCCCCCCCCCCCCCCCAAAAAAAAAAGAAACACCCAATAACAAACAAAGAAAACAACCCCAAAAGAGTGCTGTTTTTTCGGTGGGGGGTGTGGGAAGTCAGAGGCTTATGTAGTAATTTTGCTATTCCCCTTAACAAAACCAAGGTCCTACTCTGGCAGCATGGACCTGGGTCTAGCATAACACAGCTTTAGGCAGATGCTTCTTCGGGATGTGTTAAAGATCTTAGAGATCTCTCTCACTTTCTTCCTCCTCTATGCACCTGAATCTACCCTTGATAGCAAATTTTGTCAGCGTCCCATTTGAACAGCTTTATACGATTGCTTCCCTCCACAGGTTACTTTATTCAAGTGGATTTGCCACAGAGCATTTGCCCATTAGCAATCTCTTCTGCAGCCTGCTTTAAAATCTGCTTGTGGTTATGGCCAGATAAAAGCATGTGAGGTCAGTTTGGCAGAGCGGAGACAAATACTTTAACATAAGGTTTTCTATTCTGTGCAGGCAGCTAATAAAAGTGCCCGCAGGTGTTGAGAATTATCCTTGTCTTGGAGATTTCTTTACAATCTGAACCTAATCTTGGCAAAAGCTTTGGCAAGGATATCTGGCACATTAATTAAATGACTTTCCCTCCCCCACAGGTCTTATGCTGTAACTTTGATTAACCGCCTCTGTGCCCAGGAAAGGAACTGCTGGATAGGCATTATCAGTTTTGCAGGTGTATGGATGTTAGAGATAACATGGGATTCCTCCTTTATCTGGACGGATGCTCCTTACTGTTTCAACACTACACAGCTTTTCCCCTAGCTACAGCTACAAGGATCCTGCAGGCATGTTATGAGATTTTAGTATGAGGACTTTTTATTCAATATGTATCTCTGGATGGCCTCTGCTGAGAAGGTTCAGATCTTTAGAGGAAAACGCCTGAATTCTCCAGAGCTCCCTCTCTGTTTAAATGGCTTTTCCTTGCTGCAGTATCACAGCTGTGACACATCAAAGCTAGTAGGTGGTGTGGCAGGACAAGCAGCCCCAAATCAGCCTCAGTGACGAAAGGTGATTTGCAGTGGCAGGTTTCATATCTTACGGTGTCATTTTCATGAATGACTTGGCTAATTAAATTTAATGTGGAACAAGAGCTTGCTTACATTCTGCCAGGCTTAAGATGTTCTTACTCACACCTTACATAAGGAACAATTCCTACTGTTGAATAAGGGCTCCAGGATTTAGCCCTCTGTTAGCAGTCTTCCATAAACCCTTTGTTTTCCTAACATGTTAAAACCCAAGGCTTAATGGGTTCATGATGACATCAGTTATCAAGATTTGTGTGGTGTTGGCAGATGTTGAATTTTCAGTGGAAAACCATTAAACAGATTTGCGTCAGGGCAAGTTTCACAACATGCACATATTATACCGGTGGTTACATGTGTTGACTTCAGCTTTATTTATTACAAAGGAAAACAGGCCTGTACTTATACAACCAC